TTGTTAAATTAAGGATTTAAAGCCCAGTATTGACACTGACATGCGACACCTTAAAGTGTCAACAGTGTTTCGCAATATCATGATGCGTAATGGTGACATGACTATATCTTTGCAAAATTTGCACAATAATCAAGTTGAAATTATTTTTACCGGGACCAAGGATCGCTGTCAAAAAACGGAAGAGAAAAATTCATTATAAAATCAGCTTTTTTTTCTAAAACTTTATCTCAGGGTTGTCAAAAAAGGCTAGTTTGATGTGTATTTATTTATAATTCATGTTTATTTATCGAATTTTGTTCTATTTTCTGTCTGTATCGTGTGATTTAAATGAGATTTACACTACTTATCGAAATCTTGTGTACTCGCAGTATGGTGGAGACAGATTTGTTTCATCTAACTGCTGGAGTTTTGGATTTTCCTCTCTTTTCACTTCATTATCTCATTCTAAATTACGTAATACCCCGATTTTCCTATTACTAGATTTTTTGTTTCCTTTCTTTTTCAATGGAACAGCGTGGAAAGTTATAGATCACTGACTGCATGTATATGAAGTTTATTTCGATAGGGCGAAATTGAAATATACTGAGGACGAACTGTTGAGAGTGATTAAGTTGCTTGAAAGCAGTATCTTTCTAGATTGGTCCAGTATTTACCAACATGCTACTGGCTGACTCAGTGTTATAGACGGTCCCTCTATTGAACAACTTATTGTTTTAAGGCAGGATTTCTTGTTGGTTTATCGTAAGATCATTGTATTCCTGCAATAAAATAGGGTTTTCTTTTAGTTATTTATAAAAAGAATATAAAAGTGTAATAAAAGATTTTTTTTCAATTGAAGAGATATCAATAAAGCGCGCTGACGTCACCGATTATCTTTTCTTGGTTTGATCAACGACGGTGCTTTACATCACGGCTCAATATTTCTAGGTTTTACAATTAAAGATATTCAGGCAACTTTCTCTTCCATAATCATCAAAACAATTTCATAAGAAATTCTACCGCACCAAATACCGCACCGTTTTCTCAACCGAAATATATATATATACATGTACCAATGATAATTCAGAGCAATTTTGATCAATGAGAGTTCAACCAAAACCAGTGCAGAAACTGGAGTGAAATGAAAAACGCGAAAATGCCGACATGTTACCAAAATCTTAATTTTAATTAATGATGCAGGACAACAAATGATCAAAATAGGGGTTTGAAATATTACAAAAAAGGAAACGAAACCAGGTGTTCCAAAAGGTTAAGCGTATTCTGCAACATCCGCTTTGTAAATCGTTTTTGGTCAATCCATATGAATCGTGTTACATTCTCAAATAATGTGAACACGATTCAAAATGTGATGGCAAGATACAAAGGTAGAAATTGAAAACTGGCTCAGGATTTCTTAATTGGAAGAGTAGCATAAGCTGTAGATTATTATCGAGATTTCAGAACAAGAGTTCGGTTTTCTGTTAACACAGCACATGAAGAGTAAAAACAAACAGCAAAGAAGATACCGACATATCAACAGAGTCTTAATCAAATTAAAATTTGAAACAATTTCACATTACTACTCCTGAAATGTACAAAGAGAATAGGAGCAAGTGTTCCGGAAGGGTTAGTTTCTTCTGCTTCATCGACGACAAATTATGTAAACCTTGGTCAATCCAAGAGAGTAATGTTACGTTATCAAATGACAAGAAGGCAAACAATAACAGAACCACAAACCACAATAACAAGCATCAAACACGCCCAACTGCATATCACACAAGGAAGTAGAATATTTCATAATGACAAAACTATGTTGACCTTTGTGAACTTAATGCTGTACTTAATCTCGGTGTATTAGAGAAACGGAAATACACGACAAGGTGGCTTTCATGCGATACTGTATATACAGAATAAATAAAAAGTTTTCTTCAGTGAAAGAAGTGGAGAGATTAAGCCGTGATTTTCAAACCGACTAACGTTATTAGGTTCAACTGTGCATAAGAACTTGTGTAATGATAACATTGAAATCTAGGTATATTTCAATAGTAATTTGGTCAGCATTATATTTCAACAATACATGTTTACGTCACATTACTTGCAAATAATTCTGCACAGCTTGTAAATTAAATATCACAATGATATTATACAAACACATATGATTAACATAAATCCTATTCATAATTTGTAAATGTATTGCTTTCGTTTCAACAGGCTTAAGAATTAAACCGCGGCTTGAAGCAGGGTGGATAAACTTCACAGTCGAGACCGTTACACTATCTTATTTTGTAAATTATTGACAACTCACATCAAAGCTGCATGACAATTGTTCAAAACACACAAGTGAATAGAACCTTTTAATACTAAGATAGAGTTATGAATTATGCATGTACTGCTCCATACTGCTGTTTCGTCCTGAGCGGTAAAACCCGAATGGGGAGGTCCACTAAACCTTCAATTCAATTCATCTTATTATCTTCATTATTTTTTATATTTAATGAAATTTGAAAATGTACATGTGTATATTCTGAACCGTGCCAATATTCGAATAAACTAAAACGTGTCATGCAGGTTACGACAAACCTTCGGGAGTAGCAGTGTCTATTACAGAAACCTTCCGCTAAGAGAAAATGATGAAATAGATAGATAAAAACAAACAAAAGGAAAGATACAACTAGGTCATTTTTAACCCTTACAGGAAAAAAATCGATTGGGTATTATATACTAGAAAATGTTGTTATATGATACCACGCTCTGGATGGCTTTTTGTCTGTTTGTTTCGGTGGTCACTCGGATGCCACTGTTTTCTTTCCGTAGGTTTCGATGTCCACTCGGATGCCACTGTTTTCTTTTTGTAGTTTTCGATGTCCACTCGGATGCTCTTGTTATCTTTCCGTAGGTTTCGATGTCCACTCGGATGCTCTTGTTATCTTTCCGTAGATTTCGATGTCCACTCGGATGCCACTGTTTTCTTTTTGTAGTTTTCGATGTCCACTCGGATGCTCTTGTTATCTTTCCGTAGGTTTCGATGTCCACTCGTATGCTCTTGTTATCTTTCCGTAGGTTCCGATGTCCACTCGGATGTCGTTGTTGTCCTTCCGTAGGTTTCGATGTCCACTCATATGCTCTTGTTATCTTTCCGAAGTTTTCGATGTCCACTCGGATGCTCTTGTTTTCTTTCCGTAGGTTTCGATGTCCACTCGGATGCTCTTGTTATCTTTCCGTAGGTTTCGATGTCCACTCGGATGCTCTTGTTATCTTTCCGTAGGTTTCGATGTCCACCCGGATGCCGTTGTTGTCCTTCCATAGGTTTCGATGTCCACTCGGATGCTCTTGTTATCTTTCCGAAGTTTTCGATGTCCACTCGGATGCTCTTGTTTTCTTTCCGTAGGTTTCGATGTCCACTCGGATGCTCTTGTTTTCTTTCCGTAGGTTTCGATGTCCATTCGGATGCTCTTGTTTTCTTTCCGTAGGTTTCGATGTCCACTCGGATGCCGTTGTTGTCCTTCCGTAGGTTTCGATGTCCACTCGGATGCTCTTGTTATCTTTCCGAAATTTTTTATGTCCACTCGGATGCTCTTGTTTTCTTTCCGTAGGTTTCGATGTCCACTCGGATGCTCTTGTTTTCTTTCCGTAGGTTTCGATGTCCACCCGGATGCCGTTGTTGTCCTTCCGTAGGTTTCGATGTCCACTCGGATGCTCTTGTTATCTTTCCGTAGGTTTCGATGTCCACTCGGATGCCGCTGTTGTCTATCCGTTTGTGTTGATGTCTACTTGAATGTTCATTTTGTCTTCCCGATTGTTTTGATGCCCAGTTGCTTGCTGTTGGTGATTTCCTGTTACGAATATAACGCTCATGCTGTTTTCCTGTTGATGTCTATTCGGATGTTCGTGTTGTTTTTCTTTTCATTTCGATGTCCGCTCTGATTCTCTTGTCTTTCTACCTTTACACTAATTACTGATCGTATTTATTTATCCGTTCCTCTCTCCTGTGTCCCCTCTTTTTCCTGTTTAATTCCTGTTATACGCCCCTTCATTTCACTATCAATTTGTTGTATAATATCAGGAGGAATTTAATTCACTTTCAAAGCATACTATATAGGACGCTTGAATGAACAGATAAATATGGCTGTGTCTCTGATGAATGATCACATTTGTTGACAAACATTCACACTAGGCATATCTTATTAAGCCTAGATATACTGGTTATATACACATTGAATACCTGAGACCGTTTTGAATGATAAAATGATGATGATGTGTCCTGTTCAATTTCAATATTTAAATCTCCCCAGCTTAAAGACTTGTCAATCTTCTTCGTATTTTTTGTTATTGATGTGTGTCAATCAACTGGTTTCAAGTAATCTCATTGAGAAATATTTCATTTCTTTGTCCTATATGAATAAAGACGTGTTTGATGCGTGTTAGTTTGCCTTTTGGCTCAGCTGTCTTACATCTCGTTCTCATTTAAGAAAGTGACATTACTTGAATGAACACTGTTTACACGGCGGGTGTCGTCGATGAAGCGGAAGAAGCTTACTCTTCCGGAACACCTGTACTTCTTTTTCAGGTGTCTCCGTGTAGATCTTAGTTTGTTATGTTCAAATGTTGGAATTATCTTGTTTGAATTTTTTTATTATTCTGAAAAAAATTAAATTGAACTCGAGCAACACTGTCCATACATACGAAATTAAGACAACGTTTAAGTAATAAAAATAAGTCGATTATAAAGATTTCTTTTAATTATGTGAATTTTTCGTTTTACCAGTACTGCGAATAATTTGACGAATTAAAAATATCCATATAATGACACCATTCCATATATCTGAATAAATAATGTTCAGAAGATCGACGATGGACCTCATTAAGTGACATAGTTTATTCATGAAAATGGAACCGAGTTAGGAGTTAAGGCCTTCTCAAGCAGTGAAAATATGCGTTTAAGTCTCTTTCTATTGCACAATGTTATCAACTTATTCATGAAAAAATCACAGAATTATATCTGAATAGCCATGCAGTTATTCCTACTTATTATGTTTGTGCTGATTCTCAATCCATGAGGTCACGGTCATTGATCGTTCTATTTTTGGATTGAAGTCCAAGAGAGTTACCTGTAGAGCGACCTTACTAGAGCCACTCATAACGACACGTACTATGTATTCGTCTCCTTGCAAATGATAATGAGTGGGAATGTCATCCGTCTTCCAGGTTTTCGCGTTTACGTTTTGTCTCTTTCCAAAGTTTGCGATCATTTCTTCGCGAGTTTCCATCTCCAGGTCATCCAAGGTCAGCCACTGAAGTCCCAAGATGTTAGATCCCACTAAAGGGTTACTGAAGAAAATACACACGATCTTGTCAGTACCTTCTATGAGGTATGTCACCATTCCAAAAATACCGCGGCAGGTCCATGGCGTTTTGTAGAATAAATTATCACATGATTTCCCGGAAGGTAGAACAGGAAATTCGTTGAAGATTTTGCCCTTTGACAATCTAACTTCCGGTTGTATTAATGTTCGATTGAGTTGATTGGTAACTCTCATTTCAACTTTGTGCTTTGCCTGAATCAGAAAAAAATCTTTTTAACTGGTAAAAATACATTATTCTCTAACGTCAATACATATATGTATTATGCAATATCCGTAGGTCTATACATGATATCCTTTAGTCACACAAAAGTCACTGGGCACACATTAAACAGACCTGGTCATCACAAAGGTCCCTAGTAAACACACAAATATCAATACAAATGTCCCTATTAACACACCAATGTCAATACAAAGGTTCCTATTAAACACACCATTGTCAATACAAAGGTCCCTATTAAACACACAAATATCAATACGAAGGTCCATATTAAACACACCAATGTCAACACTAAGGTCCATATTAAACACACCAGTGTCAATACAAAGGTCTCTAGTAAACACACCAATGTCAATACAAAGGTTCCTATTAAACACACCAATGTCAACACTAAGGTCCATATTAAACACACCAGTGTCAATACAAAGGTCCCTATTAAACACACAAATATCAATACAAAGGTCCCTATTAAACACACCAGTGTCAATACAAAGGTATCTAGTAAACACACCAATGTCAATACAAAGGTTCATATTAAACACACCAATGTCAATGAAAATGTTCTTAATAAACACACCAAATTCATTAGAAAGGTATCCATGCAAAGCCACTAAATGGTCAATTCAAATATTCCACTAAATACACCAAGGTCGATAAACAACTGACCAATAGCAATACGTTTGATATGATACAACACCATTTGCGACATAGTACTATGCTTAATGCTACCAATGCGTCAACACAGAATGGCTCAAAAAACTCGAGGTCAAAATGATATAAGTTTCAATATCCTCGAAATATATATGATAAAATACGTCATGTCTAGGAAATAAAGCTAAAATGCCATTGAACAGGTATATTAAAGCACATACAATGATATAACAACAAAGCCAACAGATCCGGAAAGAACGAAGAAAACAACTAAAAACAAAACCGCGTCAACAAACAACAGTGTTATAACTTACAATACAATCGGATCCGGAAAAAACGAAGTAAAAACTAAAAACAAAACCGCGTCAACAAACAAAAGTGTTATAACTTACAATATCATAGAATCCGGAAAAACGAAGAAAAAATACTGAACACAAAACAGTGTTATCATGCAATGACTCAATATACAATTTCTAAAAAAAAACATACTAAACATATTCCGTTGACAACAAGGACCAAACATACAAAATTGTCAACACAATGATGCAATGCCCCTTAGTAACGCATATGGACGTAAAACGTCACAACAACGTCAACACTTCGCCGTATATTAGACAATGTCTTCAGAGAGCAATCGTATCACAGCAAATACGACCTTAAATACAAAACAGTATAGAACGACAAGGAAAACAAAGGCACAGATGTGAATGACATCTTTAAATAGTAATGAGTGGTGCAATAGACGTTGAATAATGTTCAGCACTGTAGCACTACATCATAAATCTGTTTTGTCCTTAGCCTAATACTACCTCATTCCAGAAGAGAAAATATGGAAAAGAAAAAAGGGGACAATGTGAATTAAGTATGCATCGAAATCGGCCAAAATAACATGCTGAAATATAGAAGGGGGTCATCAATTTAATTATAAAATATATATTCCCATCCCCCAAATATCTTCTAAATCTAAATAACTTCCTCTATTAGTCTTACCTTTTCCTCTTTCTCTCTAAATCTTACTGATATGACCTCTTCCCAATATCTTATTTGTAAGATCTCTTCCCAAGAGCTTACCTGTCCGACCTTTTTCAAAATATGTTACTTGTAAGAACTCCTCCCAACATCTTACCTATACGAACTCCTCCCAATATCTTACCTGTACGACCTCCTCCCTACATCTTACCTGTACGAACTCCTCCCAATATCTTACCTGTACGACCTCGTCCTTATATCTTACCTGTACGACCTCCTCCCAATATATTACCTGTACGACCTCGTCCTTATATCTTACCTGTACGACCTCGTCCTTATATCTTACCTGTACGACCTCCTCCCAATATCTTACCTGTACGACCTCGTCCTTATATCTTACCTGTACGACCTCCTCCCAATATCTTACCTGTACGACCTCGTCCTTATATCTTACCTGTACGACCTCCTCCCAATATCTTACCTGTACGACCTCCTCCCTACATCTTACCTGTACGACCTCCTTCTTATATCTTACCTATACCACCTCCTCCTTATATCTTACCTGTACGACATCCTCCCAATATCTTACCTGTACGACCTCCTCCTTATATCTTACCTGTACGACATCCTCCCAATATCTTACCTGTACGACCTCCTCCCTACATCTTACCTGTACGACCTCCTCCCTACATCTTACCTGTACGACCTCCTTCTTATATCTTACCTGTACGACATCCTCCCAATATCTTACCTGTACGACCTCCTCCCAATATCTTACCTGTACGACCTCCTCCCTACATCTTACCTGTACGACCTCCTTCTTATATCTTACCTATACCACCTCCTCCTTATATCTTACCTGTACGACATCCTCCCAATATCTTACCTGTACGACCTCCTCCTTATATCTTACCTGTACGACATCCTCCCAATATCTTACCTGTACGACCTCCTCCCTACATCTTACCTGTACGACCTCCTCCCTACATCTTACCTGTACGACCTCCTTCTTATATCTTACCTGTACGACATCCTCTCAATATCTTACCTGTACGACCTCCTCCTTATATCTTACCTGTACGACATCCTCCCAATATCTTACCTGTACGACACCCTCCCAATATCTTACCTGTACGACATCCTCCCAATATCTTACCTCTACGACTTCCTCCCAATTTATTACCTGTACGACTTCCCAGTATCCTACCTGCACGACCTATTCTTAATATATTTGCTGATCTGTCTCCTCTCTTTATCTTACTTGCGCAACCTTCTTTCAAAATCTTATTTTCACAACCTCCACTCATAATCACCTGAACGACATTTCACGTAACACCCCCTCACAATGTTTTCAGTACGACCTCTTCTCAAATTATCTTACCTGTACGACTTCCTCCCAATCCTCAAAAGCAGCGTTTTGCATTTCATTTCCAAACAGGAAATTCCCAATACAGTTTGTCATGACGACAGAGAACTGACCACTGGTCTGATGTGTTACTATTGGTACCAGATATATTTACCTTCCTGGCTAGGTAATATTGTAAGTGATACCGTCATTGCTGAACACGACATTTAAAGTATAGTTAGCTTGCTACCGTGGATGTTGTGTCAAATAGTTCATATATAATTCATGTTTCAAAATACAGACTATTTTATTACAAAAAGCAATAATTGATATTTTTTGTTTATATATTTAATAAACATACAAACATTTTTGATGTTGACAAAAATATTTATGATTAGAAAAGATCCGTTCCTTTAAAGCTAACATGAAATTGAAAAACAATCAGTGCCTGTTTTAGACTGATTTTAAAAGAACCGTTATTGTATTAACAGATCAGTTACCAAATCGTGGGTTTATCAAAGTATAACGACGACCGTAAGTACGGAGGACTATACCTGTTCAGCATTACTGTAGTGGAGATTACCTGGATGACGTATGCAACAATATTACAGGTAAAACGAATATTGTCATTTCAGATAAAAACACAGCTTCTGAAAGATAACTTTATCAAATAACACCACAAGGAATGAAAGCAAACGTACCACTACACAAGAAATAAGATAAATTATTAGAAAAATTATAGTTTGAAAATAGTGACCTTATCAGTTAACGCAAAAATAACAATATCAGAAAAAACACACCGGTTAAAAAACAATATACACCATATACAAAACAGTAAACACCATATACAAAACAGTGAATACCATATACAAAACAGTAAACACCATATACAAAACAGTGAATACCATATACAAAACAATACAATACCATATACAAAACAGTAAATACCATATACAAAACAGTAAATACCATATACAAAACAGTAAATACCATATACAAAACAATACAATACCATATACAAAACAATACAATACCATATACAAAACAATACAATACCATATACAAAACAATACAATACCATATACAAAACAGTAAATACCATATACAAAACAATACACACCATATACAAAACAGTAAAATACCATATACAAAACAATACACACCATATACAAAACAGTAAAATACCATATACAAAACAATACAATACCATATACAAAACAATACAATACCATATACAAAACAGTAAACACCATATACAAAACAGTAAACACCATATACAAAACAATACAATACCATATACAAAACAATACAATACCATATACAAAACAATACAATACCATATACAAAACAATGCAATACCATATACAAAACAGTAAACACCATATACAAAACAGTAAACACCATATACAAAACAATACAATACCATATACAAAACAATACAATACCATATACAAAACAATACAATACCATATACAAAACAGTAAACACCATATACAAAACAGTAAATACCATATACAAAACAGTAAACACCATATACAAAACAGTAAACACCATATACAAAACAATACAATACCATATACAAAACAGTGAATACCATATACAAAACAGTAAACACCATATACAAAACAGTAAACACCATATACAAAACAATACAATACCATATACAAAACAGTGAATACCATATACAAAACAATACAATACCATATACAAAACAATACAATACCATATACAAAACAATACAATACCATATACAAAACAGTGAATACCATATACAAAACAATACAATACCATATACAAAACAATACAATACCATATACAAAACAATACAATACCATATACAAAACAGTAAACACCATATACAAAACAGTAAACACCATATACAAAACAATACAATACCATATACAAAACAATACAATACCATATACAAAACAATACAATACCATATACAAAACAGTAAACACCATATACAAAGCAGTAAATACCATATACAAAACAGTAAACACCATATACAAAACAGTAAACACCATATACAAAACAATACAATACCATATACAAAACAGTGAATACCATATACAAAATAATACAATACCATATACAAAACAATACAATACCATATACAAAACAATACAATACCATATACAAAACAGTAAACACCATATACAAAACAGTAAATACCATATACAAAACAGTAAACACCATATACAAAACAATACAATACCATATACAAAACAGTGAATACCATATACAAAACAGTAAACACCATATACAAAACAGTAAACACCATATACAAAACAATACAATACCATATACAAAACAGTGAATACCATATACAAAACAGTAAACACCATATACAAAAAAGTAAACACCATATACAAAACAATACAATACCATATACAAAACAATACAATACCATATACAAAACAGTGAATACCATATACAAAACAATACAATACCATATACAAAACAATACAATACCATATACAAAACAATACAATACCATATACAAAACAGTAAACACCATATACAAAACAGTAAATACCATATACAAAACAGTAAACACCATATACAAAACAGTAAACACCATATACAAAACAATACAATACCATATACAAAACAGTGAATACCATATACAAAACAGTAAACACCATATACAAAACAGTAAACACCATATACAAAACAATACAATACCATATACAAAACAGTGAATACCATATACAAAACAATACAATACCATATACAAACAATACAATACCATATACAAAACAGTAAATACCATATACAAAACAGTAAATACCATATACAAAACAGTGAATACCATATACAAAACAATACAATACCATATACAAAACAATACAATACCATATACAAAACAATACAATACCATATACAAAACAATACAATACCATATACAAAACAATACAATACCAGAAACAATACATGTAATTTAAACAACGGCATAATAGGAACGCTAACAAATAATACATTTCAAACAACAGTGACCGTGATAATGAGAAAATTACCCTGGACACAATACTTGATGCTTCCGATGAAAAGTAACATTACTTGTAACACCCAAATAAAAAATAATACGGTCAGGGATATTTACTGCTATTAAAACAAAAGTTACCGTGAAAATAACACTGAATATATGTCATAATGAGAAATGATACAATGATATTTACTGCTATTACAACAGAGGTTACCATGCAGAGATTGGAACATCAGCTCAGTCAAAACAGAGGTAGCGCGAGATAAATACATAAATATAAATATATGGATATAGATATATATAAAAACAAATCAGCAAAGCTAGTACGGACATCTTTAAAGAATCTTAATTCAGAATCCGGATGAGGGATAGAAATATAAACATGATGAGACTTCTGAAAAAATTAACAAAATTGTAATGAAAACGGTTTGCACGATGTAATATTTTAAATCAGTCGTGTATTTTGTACCGCTAGGCCTCCGTATATATGTACACAGTAAAACACACATGGATATTAATGTATCCCGCAACCAGTTGACCGACTGGCACGCGTGTATATTATATTGATTTAGCGGACAATACAGTATGTACATTATACAATGTGGCAGTATTGTTCCTCGAGTACTGCTATTGTAGGAGGCTACCAGCCGTTATCGGATAGATTAGCTGTTTAATAAACCTGTACTATGAATCTATAAATGAATGCGACAAAGGAAGGTTGACATCAGTAGGATGGAAACACCAAATTAGTAGGACGGAGATTTTACTACACTGACATCGTCCGATAAAGTCGTGATATACCATAGATCATCATTATAGCTTTAGCTGTACAATGTATGTTTTAACTGTAGCTCAAACATCACACTTCAAGACGGAGAAACTTTTTTCTCTCATTTTCTTTCTTTTCTATATCTCTCTCTCCTTTCGCTTTCTGTTATTCTTCCTTTCTTTCCTTTTTCTTTCTTTTCTTTCATTCTATGTTTCCTTCTTTCCTTTTCTTTTTTTCTATATTTCTTCCTTTCTCTTTCTGTCTTTCTTCCTTTCTTTTTATCTCTTTCTGTCTTTCTTTCTCTTTCGACATTTCTTTCCTTAGTTCTAACTTCCTTTCTTTTATCTTTACTTTATAAATGTCACTACCAGAATGAGTATGTACGATCACAATCCTATGTTTTCTAATATTGCCACTGTCTGATAAACAATACAGAGAATGATATCAACGATGGTTACCTCCCCTGAATTTTACTCAATCAGAGGCAGCATTAAATATGATGGCTTATGGTTTATTACTGAATCAAGAGTGTTTCCTTTATAGATGATACTGAATAGACCTTATACGATCTTTTGACTTGTGACATATGACAGCTATGCAGACTGGCAGACTGATAGACATACATACAGACAGACAGACAGACAGATAGATAGAGTGAAAGAAAGAAAGAATAGTTGTACTTGTCTGTCTTATTATTGGTTAAAATAAACGATAATTAAAAAAACCAGTAAGTAAAACATAAAGAAAAGAAAAAGAAAGAAACGGTTTAATAATTCATTATGTCTGTCTCACCAGTGGTCAAAATAAACAATGAGAAAAAGTCCGTAAGATCCTGATGACGGTAAAGAGTTTCCACATATCTGTACTGACGTGAAAACAATAGTGGTTTATACACAGCAAGTCTGAGTAGTGCTTCATATGCTTTGTGGATCTTCAGGGTTTTTTAACCGTAAATCTCAATCAACATCTGAACAAGTACATTAAGTGTAGAAATGACAGTTTTATATGATATTATTCCAGTTATTGTAATTACATATGCTCTATCGACTTCCATAATTTGAAGTGGTGCAAATTTCTCATCTAAATCGGTTTTGTAAAGCCAACTTACGAGAAAAATGCGCTATTCTGACAATTTCATGCCGACGTAGTGTTTTATTTATTTTTAATACTTGCTTTAAGCTATGAAATTTGTTTTAAAAAACAATTATACGAATTCGTGCACATTATATATAAAATGTTTGTGCGTTAAATCGACAGCGTCTTGGTACTTTTAGATGTCTACCCCTGTAAGTATTGTCAACTTGACTGAGTACGAATTCAGCCCCATCACTCACTGATTTTCTGTACAGTTTCGTTGTCTTTTTTTTCACTCTACGTATCTATACAAACATGAACACGACACTTTATGAAAGTCGGTTATATCAAACACACAAAACACACACACACGCACACACCACCACCATACACACACACACCCTCACACACACACACTCTCACACACACACACACACACACACCCACACACACACACTCCACACACAAACATAAAAATAGCAATATTCTTGGTAAAATGTGAACAGATTGTCCCTAAGGAAATTTAGCTACTACACTTTTAGTAACGAAATAAGATTACTACAAAACACAGTGTTAAATTGAACTGACCTTACTACGACTAGAGCACTACTTACCTTCATGGCGTAGGTTTTCGGTATCCAACTTCCTCTTTTAATTTTTTCCATGTATTATCTCAGAGAGAGAGGGGAGAGAGAGAGAGAGAGAGAGAGAGAGAGAGAGAGAGAGAGAGAGAGAGAGAGAGAGAGAGAGAGAGAGAGAGATAACAAAAACAAAACACCATCCAAAGCAAAAAATGTTGTGCTTAAGAATGAATTGACCAACAGCATAGTTTGTATACATACAGCAAGTAACATATAGTTCTTAGATCGAGTCAAACAAAATAATGATTTCATTGACCTTACGTTACACGACGCTGCACACTTTGTACATCATGGAGCAACCGATAACCAATGATACAAGAAATAGCACACATCTGTTTCAATATTAGACATATCCAAGTGAGATTTGTTCCTAATCACCGTTGTTATCGGTGTATTTTATGTATTTACATTGCAACTACCCATGGAGTTCCAGGGTGTTTTACACTTTACATGTAAACAACAAACAGCGACATACCAACAAGACCTGTTAACTTGATGTACCCTAGACTTAAAAAAAAAAATATTAATTGGTTACTACTTGGAGGCGTTGTCATTGTTGTCAATTAAACAGCGGGTTTATTTACGGTGAATGAATGTAGAGACATAATTAAAAGATTCTGCATTACACTTAGCAAGCCTAACAATGAGTTATCTTTACTAAGTTTAAAGCGAGTTTGTTTATCAAGAATAAGTTATCAATGTTGTAATTACAGCGAGTTTATTAAAGTAAGGTTAGAATAAGTTACTGTGTTGAGTTTTAAGCGAATTTATTGAGGTAAGGTTAAAATAAGTTACTGTGTTGAGTCTTAAGCGAGTTTATTCAGGTAAGATTAGAATAGGTTACTGTGTTGAGTCTTAAGCGAGTTTATTTAGGTAAAGTTAGAATAAGTTACTGTGTTGAGTCTTAAGCGAGTTTATTTAGGTAAAGTTAGAATAAGTTACTGTGTTGAGTCTTAAGCGAGTTTATTAAGGTAAGGGTAGAATAAGTTACTGTGTTGAGTCTTAAGCGAGTTTATTTAGGTAAGATTAGAATAGGTTACTGTGTTGAGTTTTAAGCGAGTTTATTTAGGTAAAGTTAGAATAAGTTACTGTGTTGAGTTTTAAGCGAGTTTATTTAGGTAAAGTTAGAATAAGTTACTGTGTTGAGTCTTAAGCGAGTTTATTCAGGTAAGGGTAGAATAAGTTATTGTGTTGATGTTGGAGAAGTCGTTTAAACGGCTATATAATGAGTTCGTTATATTTGGTTAAAACGGATTTCTTTATAAAAGAATTTAAAAATTGAAAATCGATGATATGTTGTGAACGCAGCCTAATTCAACATAAAATCAAATATGTTGAGAAAACAATGTTATCATCATTATCCTAAAAACAATTAGCAAACACGCTTGATAAATGTTACAAATACAATACCAAAAGAAAATAAATACAAATATGATCGCTAAAGGCTAAAGTTACATTTAGGACAAATTATTAAAAGTAACAATACGCTTTTTAAAAAATCGAAAAAATCTACACCAATAAAAACATTAAACAGATACCTTAATTACAAGTAAGACGTGATGTTATTGAAGATAAAAAAAAAATCCAAAATTTAGTGAATTCAATTCATCAAAAATTTATCTATAAAGATTTAGATACAACTGCTAGCTTAAAAGAAAATAAGGAACACACTAAATAAAGGTTAGAGATAATTAAATAGAATTAGAAAAGTGTGTTAAAAATGAGTGTATTCATGTTAACAGGGTTTAGTGCATATTTTCTAATAGATAATACATGTTGAACAAGTTACTAAAGAAATGAGAATACAACTTTACTAAATAACGCACAGAGCGTGTTAGGCTATTGTCAACGAAATACATTACGGTAATATGTCTGCAAGAAATATTTAAACATTTTGAAATATAAAGTATACTGTTATAGAGTAATTTTAAACTTATGACATGAGGTGTTGATAACCTGGCGCAGCTTTAAGCTATCAGCTTTATGTATGTACTAGAGCACGACTCGTGTTGAGTTCAAGCACCCTAGAAGTGCACGCAGAAGTGGCACATAGTCAGACGATGTCTTTTAAAATAAACGCTGTTGTAAATGATGTTATTATATGTATCTCGCCCTGAGGTGTAAGCGTTTTATTCAATTTATCCAAAAAGAAATAAATGCAACCAACAAAAGAACTGTAGTGGAAAAATTACATATTATATATAATTCAATACTTTGTTGTTAACGGTCAGATGACAGAAGAACATAAAAAAAGCAAAGCAATTTGACTTTTTTTCTATCATTTTTATTTGAATGACTTTTAAGTTATATTGAATTTGATTTACATTAAATGACGCTATAATGTATACCTATTGAATGTGACACCTGTATAGCTATTAAGTAATTCTCAGGATTTGTCACATGCACAACTTCGCCTGAATAGGGAAAACATTATAGATATGCAGTAAGTTCTCGCTAGGCGTCGCCACCAGTTCATGTTTAAAACAGTAGGGGTCACATAAACGCTTTAAATGTAGATTTGTTTTTATCGAACTCAACGGATACCGATTTCATTTATCAAGGGAATTATGAATATTCTTGAACAGATATCTACCACGTAGACGGAGGATAAGCCATATAAAAATGACACTATTGTGAATGCTGGTCAGTATTGAACAGGGTAATGGCAAATGACAAAGTCCAAGACGGCATCGCAATATAAAGGAGGATGGATATACTTTTCCAACATTGTTAACAAGCTGTATAACATTCACCGATGTTACAGCATTGTCAGTAAGTCCATGTTTGAAATGAGTTTGAGTCACGAGCAAATATGTTAAACGATTTCCTTGGAGACAAATGTTCAACCAGAGGACATGAGCAATTGTGATATCCTGTTCAACCTGGAGACAAATGTACCAGAGAGACGATAGACCATGTTCAACCCGGAGACAAATGTACCAGAGAGACGATAGACCATGTTCAACCCGGAGACAAATGTACCAGAGAGACGATAGACCATGTTCAACCCGGAGACAAATGTTCCTGAGAGACAACAGACCATGTTCAACCAGGAGACAAATGTACTTAAGAGACAGAAGACCATGTTCAACCCGGAGGCAAATGTACCAGAGAGACGATAGACCGTGTTCAACTCGGAGACAAATGTACCAGAGAGACCGTAATCAACCCGGACACAAATGTACTTGAGAGACGATAGACCGTGTTCAACTCTGAGACAAATGTACCAGAGAGACCGTAATCAACCCGGAGACAAATGTACCTGAGAGACAACAGACCGTGTTCAACCAGGAGACAAATGTACTTAAGAGACAACAGACCGTGTTCAACCCGGAGACAAATGTACTTAAGAGACAACAGACCGTGTTCAACCCGGAGACAAATGTATCTGAGAGACAACAGACCGTGTTCAACCCGGAGACAAATGTATCTGATAGACAACAGACCATGTTCAACCCGGAGACAAATGTACTTATGAGACAACAGACCGTGTTCAACCCGGAGACAAATGTATCTGAGAGACAACAGACCGTGTTCAACCCGGAGACAAATATATCTGAGAGACAACAGACCGTGTTCAACCCGGAGACAAATATATCTGATATACAACAGACCGTGTTCAACCCGGAGACAAATGTACCTGATAGACAACAGACCATGTTCAACCCGGAGACAAATGTACCTGAGAGACAACAGACCGTGTTCAACCAGGAGACAAATGTATCTGATAGACAACAGACCGTGTTCAACCCGGAGACAAATGTATCTGAGAGACAACAGACCGTGTTCAACCCGGAGACAAAATGTATCTGAGAGACAACAGACCGTGTTCAACCCGGAGACAAATATATCTGATAGACAACAGACCGTGTTCAACCCGGAGACAAATGTATCTGAGAGACAACAGACCGTGTTCAACCCGGAGAGAAATGTATCTGATAGACAACAGATCAGGTTCAACCTGGAGACAAATGTATCTGAGAGACAACAGACCAGGTTCAACCTGGAGACAAATGTATCTGATAGACAACAGACCGTGTTCAACCCGGAGACAAATGTATCTGATAGACAACAGACCAGGTTCAACCTGGAGACAAATGTATCTGATAGACAACAGACCAGGTTCAACCCGGAGACAACTGTATCTGCGATACAACAGACCAGGTTCAACCAGGAGACAAATGTACCTGAGAGACAACAGACCAGGTTCAACCCGGAGACAAATGTATCTGAGAGACAACAGACCAGGTTCAACCTGGAGACAAATGTACCTGAGAGACAAAAGACCACGTTCAACCCGGAGACAAATGTATCTGATAGACAACAGACCAGGTTCAACCCGGAGACAAATGTATCTGAGAGACAACAGACCGTGTTCAACCCGGAGACAAATGTACCTGAGAGACAAAAGACCACGTTCAACCCGGAGACAAATGTACCTGAGAGACAAAAGACCATGTTCAACCCGGAGATAAAGGTGCCTGAGAGAAAATGTTCAACCAGGTGATACATTTATTCGATACACCATGTCCATTAACGAGAAAAATTACCTGAGAGACCAAATACCATGATGACTGTTCAACCGGGCTACGTATGCAGGTGTTAGACAGTAAAACAAAGTCTCAAAGGCACTTGATAGTCTTGTATTTAAGAACGCTGCAAAACGTTTACGTGCACTAAAGAAAAACCGTTTTCATGATGTGTTCACTGTTAGCACTGTATCGACCGTATCTGAAATGTATATGATGGAGAGATGATAAGTATGTCATATACTAAAATGACATTTCTATAGAAAGGTTGTCAATTGTGAAATAAAAATTCACATTTTTACACATATTTTAAATATAAAAATTGATTAGTTTTTCAAAATGTTCTTTCATAAAAAATATTTTGGAAATGCGTTTATTTTAGAGAAATGTCACAAAAATTCAAAGATTTAGAAATTATGGAATGAAAACAATGTCTTTATGAGGAAATTACTCTTTTGGATTAAAATTTTGCTGTTTTAACCTTAATTTTGACAATGTTATGACCAAGTGTTCGAAAATGGATCATAGGTATCCTCTCGACAGTCTCAGAGTACATTTGATCAGAGTGCATTGGACGTTATCAAAATATGGACTAGATGGCTTTATCTAGATAAATGTGATCCCTATTATATAACTGTCTAGTCTAAAATTACGTTCAAGGACTCAACCGAGAAAATTAAAAATGGCACCTTCTCTTTTGTTCTTTCTTGTTGGAGCCTGGTGTATACATTATGTATTGGTTATAGAACGCGCTTATTTATAGGCGTGTTCGATAAGCAATCTCTTAATCAAACATGCAATCAAGTGTCGCTGAAATAATTTGTGGCTTCGGAAAAGTTCATCATAACATTCGCTATTCAATGAATTAAAAATGGCACTTTTGACTTCATGTAAAATAAATCAAACTGAAAATACGCCATGAATAGGGGTATTGCATATCATGGTCAATAAGTCTTTTCCGCCTCATTAACTTGTAAAATCGTTTAAGATATATAGAGCACCAGATCTACAAGGCTATATATGTGTATACTTATTTGTACCTTACGTAATTCAATCTGCTGTTAATTCATTCATCAATCAGTTTCTCTCGTGAAAACTGGAGATAAAATACATATAGTTGCCTTGATTCATAATTTATAACCAAATACTGGACTTAAGTACAGTCAATGGCACAAATCAATGCATTATAAAAATAGTATTTATATACAAACACCGTCTCGTAATACATCACTTCAGGGTAAATTAAGATATTGTTTAAAAAAAATCTTTCAAAAACCTTCTAGTATCGAAACCATAAAACTGACAGGGTGATTTAGTTAACTGGGAGGGCTAAGACATTGTGTACTTTCTTGTACAATGTATTTGTGTCATCCTATATATATATAATATACAAGGTTGTCCCAGTATGAACTGCCCTCAAACACACTATAGGTGCAGAGATCTTGTCGTATATGGATATGTTGGGGTCTGGAGTAGTAAAGCTAAATGTATACAGACATGAGAGTATCCGGATAAATGGTATCCATATAGAGGTAAATATCCGGATTAATGAGGACCAAAGACACGTCAGTATCTGGACTAGTGAGTTCATTTGTATACAGATAGATCAGTATCCGGACTGATGAAACCCAATTTAGTAAGGATAAGTGTTTTATACATATGGGTTAGAGTATATTGATGTCAGCTGTGAACAGACACATCAGTATCCGGACTAGTGAGGGGCGGGGTGTACAGAGATATCAGTACCCGGACTAGTGAAGGGCGCCATATACAGGGACATCAGTATCCAGACTAGTAAGGGATGCCGTGTATAGAGACATCAGTATCCGGACTAGTAAGTGGCGCCGTGTACAGAGACATCAGTATCCGGACTAGTGAGGGGAACGCCATATATAGGGACATCAGGATCCAGACTAGTAAGGGATGCCGTGTATAGAGACATCAGTATCCGGACTAGTAAGAGATGCCGTGTACAGAGACATCAGTATCCGGACTAGTGAGGGACGCCATATACAGAGACAACAGTATTCGGAATAGTGAGGGACGCCATATACAGAGACAACAGTATTCGGAATAATGAGGGGTGCCGTGTATAGAGACATCAGTATCCAGACTAGTGAGGGGCGCCGTGTACAGAGACATCAGTATCCAGACTAGTGAGGGGCGCCGTGTATAGAGACATCAGTATCCGGACGAGTGAGGGATGCCGTGTACAGAGACATCAGTATCCAGTCTAGTGAGTGGCGCCGTGTACAGAGACATCAGTATCCGGACTAGTGAGGGGCGTCATGTACAGAGACATCAGTATCCGGACTAGTGAGGGGTGCCGTGTACAGAGACATCAGTATCCGGACTAGTGAGGGGCGTCATGTACAGAAACATCAGTATCCAGACTAGTGAGGGGTGCCGTGTACAGAGACATCAGTATCCAGTCTAGTGAGTGGCGCCGTGTACAGAGATATCAGTATCCGGACTAGTGAGGGGCGTCATGTACAGAAACATCAGTATCCGGACTAGTGAGGGGTGCCGTGTACAGAGACATCAGTATCCGGACTAGTGAGGGGCGTCATGTACAGAGACATCAGTATCCAGACTAGTGAGGGGTGCCGTGTATAGAGACATTAGTATCCAGAGTAGTGAGGGGTGCCGTGTATAGAAACATCAGTATCCGGACTAGTGAGGGGCGCCGTGTATAGAGACATCAGTATCCGGACTAGTGAGGGGCGGCGTGTATAGAGACATTAGTATCCAAACTAGTGAGGGGTGCCGTGTACAGAGACATCAGTATCCGGACTAGTGAGGGGCGTCATGTACAGAGACATCAGTATCCAGACTAGTGAGGGGTGCCGTGTATAGAGACATCAGTATCCGGACTAGTCAGGGGCGCCATGTACAAGGACATCAGTTTCGTGAATAGTAAGGTCCTTGTCAATATCTAGACTAGTGAGGTCCTTGTCAGTATCTGGACTAGTGAGGTCCTTGTCAGTATCTAGACTAGTGAGGTCCTTGTCAGTATCTAGGCCAGTGAGGTCCTTGTTAATATCTAGACTAGTGAGGTCCTTGTCAGTATCTAGACTAGTGAGGTCCTTGTCAATATCTAGACTAGTGTGGTCATTGTCAATATCTAGACTAGTGAGGTCCTTGTCAGTATCTAGACTAGTGAGGTCCTTGTCAGTATCTAGACTAGTGAGGTCCTTGTCAATATCTAGACTAGTGAGGTCCTTGTCAATATCTAGACTAGTGAGGTCCTTGTCAATATCTAGACTAGTGAGGTCCTTGTCAATATCTAGACTAGTGAGGTCCTTGTCAGTATCTAGACTAGTGAGGTCCTTGTCAGTATCTAGGCTAGTGAGGTCCTTGTCAGTATCTAGACTAGTGAGGGTTTTTTTAATTTATATATAGTTTTTTAGTCTTCGTTTATTTAATTATTCTTTGCTCAATTTCGATACCACGATGTACATATACAACAGTAAGATTGAAACAGAGACTATTTTTTTTAAAGTTTCAATTTCTAAAAAAAAATGAACGACTTGGACTCTGACACCAGACGTAATTAACAGAAATCTACACAATTACATACAAATTCCAGTCTCCTATCTACAGAAAAATAATTACAGATTCGTCAATAATCTGTTGAGGGGTTTTCCCATGAACTTATATCTAAATGTTACTTATTAAAAGTCAATTCAATTAAACTCGAAACCAATTAAGGTATCCAATAAAGTGGTAGTTTTATTGTATACTTACTTTAAAATAGAATAAATCGTCACGAGATTTTTGATACGGACCAGACATGTCGCGATATCCTGATAAAATCGAAAGATTGATTAATTTTTAATGGTTTCGAAACAAAACAAAAGAAGATATGAAATAGACACAGGCATTATAACGTTTTAAAGTTAAGGTGGTGTCTTATTGCAAACATGCACCTTAGTGATCGCGATTTCTCGACAATTACTGCCGTTTGGGGAAATTATTTCGAGGCGATGTTATCACCATCTAACATTGACCTCCTTTCGATTTTACTTTTATATACAGGTATTACAGGTATATATAGATACATAATTTGAATCCCTCCTGAATTACAGTCTATATCTTACCAGAGTAGGTCTTGAGTGCTAAGCGGTTTATACCATATATGTAAATGGAATAAGGAAACAGTTATAAATTTTATTTTATTACGATCATCTTGACGGCAATCTGCCCACTGTAACAGAGTAAGTGACGATTTCTCATCAAAGCATGAACAATAGAAGAACGAGCGGAATTATCCTCTTACGGGATCAAGAGATTTTTCTTTGACAAGTTAAAAGTAAAATAGTATTGAGCCAACGAGAGTTCCAGAGAAGGGACGTAACTCTAAGAAATGCACAGTCAAGAAAATGGCAAATACTACAGCATATCGCGAATCGTTAAATTATTATCACTGATACGCCCATCATATTGTGTACAATAAACTTTAACAAGAATGTTAAGGTATATCGACTTGTTTATCTGACTTTCCTATACATAAATGTTTTACAAATACCCTGTGTAAGAGCGGAGACACTTCGTAGAGGAGGTCTGTTACAAAAACAACACACATGTTTACGTTACAGACTTGAAATCGTGCGAGAACACTTGTGTTTTGTCAGATTGTTAGAGGACGTTTCTGTGATAACTTGGTTTTAAACTAAACACATATCTATAATTCCACTTTATAACGGGTAATTTTAACGCTGATACACGTAAGAGTAGTGAGCCGATGTACATCAACAGTACACGATGCATTATGTGCATGTTACAGACATTCCGCATCTATCAGGATATTTCAGTAGGATCTTGCTCGTTAAAACTGATTTAAGCAAACTATTTACTCCAACATATCTTTATTTACGTGAATTATAGATCAAGGCGATTTAATATATAATTAACTCAAACTTTACGATATTTTATCGCAAACTATTTCTTGTTTGATAGTTATTGTTAATTTCATGAG